TAGAGAATAGAATTTGCATGTGAGCAATAAACACAGCTACAGACTCAGAATGTTTCTGTTTCCTGTGCTTTATTTGCTCCCACAATTCATCTTCTATGTCAGAATGCAAAAAATCTCTCTTCAAATATGACACTAAACCTTTCCAATCAGTCACAGAAGTCTTAATACTTTTAAACCATATAAAAGCATTGCCAGTAAAAAGTTCAGCTGCAGAAGTGAAAGGATCCTTTTCATTCACCCTACGAGATTCAGCTAATTCTGTCACACGTTCTAAAAAGTTATACAAGGTTTTACCATCACCATTGAATTTAATTTGACATTCACTGACAAGAGGAGGTCTACTGGAGCAACTAACTATAGGAGGTGGAATATTAAATATGGGCTGCTGATTTGATGTACCTGGTGATAAAGGCGTAGGCTGAGAATCCTTCTCTGCTTTTTCATAAAGATCGGCCTCTAATGTCAAACAAGTTGCATAGCATTCCTTGACATAATCAAGTTGATCTTTATCTCCCACAGGTATTGGCATACGATGCACTCTATTTGAAACATGAACCAAACGAGATTTCATACGGAGAAAAGTAGAATCTTGAACAGTACCTTCAAAATCATCAACAATACTTGTAATAGACAAAATAGACCTATCAATTTCCTCCTTTTCCTCATCAAAGTCAAGGTTGTTCAGGACGATTTCAGAGATTTTAGTTTTCCCAGAATCTTTCTCTTTCTTCAAAAGAAGGCCCAGCATCTTACGTTTCGCTTGTACATCACGTTGACAAACCACTGCTCTAATTTTCAGCTCATAATCCAGCTCATAGTCTAGTAGATGATTACTACGAAAAACTTCCTCCATTGTAGCGAGAAATTAACACACAAACCAACCTAAATAACGACACAAAAAAATTGTCCCCACACACAAAAGTTACCAAAAAAACAGAACCACTCTTGGTTAAGAAAATTCAGCAAATAGAGAATAGTTTTAATGCAACAATAGCATAAATCAAATTAATAATTCTCTATTGCCTGTATTCTAATATTAAATCAAAAATGTAAACTTTAATCAGTAGGACTCACAAACCATTTAAATTCAAACTCCAATCAAAATAGTTTAAAAAAATATTACACATTATATAATATAACAAAGTTCCAAAAAAATTATTGAGCCACTACTCCAATTGTCTTGTTAAGATAGAGATGTATTCAAGGGCCACACACGTTTGGGTGTTAAAAAGTTAGCCACGCCCCACGTTGGGCGCCAAAAAGTATATCGTACTTATTTTGGCAATTGCCTAATTATACTGCTACGGCTAGTCAGCTTCAGTTCGGAGGCCATGGGTCTCTGGGTTCCTTGTATACATCTTACCTTTGGGCGCCACCAAGTTAATTGTGACTTAACTAGGAAGATAACTTAATGATGTTATAAACAAAACCTGTGCAATTGGAGAGCTTATCAATAAAACAACTAATTAGGTACAATAATGTATCTGGCTTCTTTATTAAAAATAATAACAAAATATAGGGATAGCCAGGAGGTTATTAAAAATGTGTTTAGAATAATGCTTGTACCAATTTATAAATATTTGATTATAAAAAAAAAATAAGAATGTAAATAATGTATAAAAATATTGATTTTTAAATAAACAGTTTTAACTGTCTGTTTACACTTGTGAAAGTTTAGAACCACAATATCAGTTACACTCTACCAAGAGGCAAATTCAGCACCAGAAAGGTGACAATTATTGTTAGGGCAACCTCAGGGTAAAATTCTAGAATTTTATTTAAGGGGCACTTACCGAACGTAAATCAGTATCAAGTGATTTATATAAGATTTGCCTAAATAGTAAAAAGTGCAACTTACATGTGTACAAGTGTTGATTATCTACAAAGGTGTGTGTAAATCCAGAAGTTTTGAAGGGATATTATCTACAGGTTCGGTCTCACTGTAGATAGACTATGGTATGGTAAGTGAGTCATAGTCATGAGTCCTATCCACGTGGTATCTGTTTTACGTAGAACTCAATGTGGTTCTAGCAGAGCGGTACCAAGAGGGCTGCTGAAGGGAGGCTACCAAAGCCAACTAAGAGCAATCTAGATCTATTCTAGACTGTAAACAAGAGCAATCTAGATCTATTCTAGAATCTCTTTCTAGGAGCTGTCCAACTATAGCCTAAGACTGTCTAGCTACAGCCTAGCACTAGGACTAGGAGTAGGGCCCTCAAATTGAGAGATCCTCTAGACCAAAGGTGAAGTCTTAAACTTCCAAAAGCTGCTCGGAACACTCCGAAACAAAATCCAAAATGACCAAGGGACGACTCTAGGCAATTATCAACAAGAAATTAGTCTAAACATAGAGTTCCCTGGCACCAAATTCCAAAAAGTCTCAAGATCAAAAGGGCTGATTCTTCATTTAGATTTCGGAAGAATGCTTTCACTTGTCAAACTTCTAATTTCGACATTGAAGAAAATTATAGAAAAAAGCGTGTTCAATTTCACTCCAAGAATACGAACTGAAAGTTTGGTTGTATAAAAATGACTGGTGAATATTGAAAAATGCCTATAGAACATATATCAAAAAGTAGAACAGGTCTAAAGAAAATGCCTAGACAAAACAGCTGTTCAATGACATGATGGAAATGAAAAATCAAAGAGTAAACAACAATTATTATCATAACCTCAGATTATTTATTTATCAATTAGATTTGCAAACAGAGATGATGAAAAAATCTCTCCTTTTCCTAAGATTCTAAACAATAACAGCGGGCCCTGCCGTACTGAATCAAACCTTCCTAGATCAATCAACAAAACTTGCAAACCTGCACAAAAAAACTTTCAGTAGAAGGCAGTGATCAAGGTAACAAAATCTGGGCACAGAAAAGACAGTTGTTTATTCATTTATTTCATTGTAGTTCTATATAGAATCATATCTACTAGAGCAAAACACAGTAGTATATCAAACAAGAAATTGAAAATGCTACACTTCAACTTCATAGTCATGAGTCCTATCCACGTGGTATCTGCTTTACGTAGAACTCAATGTGGTTCTAGCAGAGCGGTACCAAGAGGGTTGCTGAAGGGAGGCTACCAAAGCCAACTAAGAGCAATCTAGATCTAGTCTAGAATCTCTTTCTTCAGCTGTCCAACTATAGCCTAAGACTGTCTAGCTACAGCCTAGCACTAGGACAATCCTACTCTTAGGCTATCTTTGGACATTCCTAGTGCTAGGCTGTAGCTAGACAGTCTTAGGCTATAGTTGGACAGCTGGAGAAAGAGATTCTAGACTAGATCTAGATTGCTCTTAGTTGGCTTTGGTAGCCTCCCTTCAGCAACCCTCTTGGTACCGCTCTGCTAGAACCACATTGAGTTCTACGTAAAGCAGATACCACGTGGATAGGACTCATGACTATGACTCACTTACCATACCATAGTCTATCTACAGTGAGACCGAACCTGTAGATAATATCCCTTCAAAACTTCTGGATTTACACACACCTTTGAAGATAATCAACACTTGTACACATGTAAGTTGCACTTTTTACTATTTAGGTAAATCTTATATAAATCACTTGATACTTATTTACGTTCGGTAAGTGCCCCTTAAATAAAATTCTAGAATTTTACCCTGAGGTTGCCCTAACAATAACTTTCATCTTTCTGTGTTTAATTTGCCTGTTGGTAAAGTGTAACCCATACTGTATTTTTCTTATCACTCACAAGTGTAAATACCAAAAGGTTTTTAGTCATGTTCACTTAAAATTCATATTTATATATGCGTTATTTACATTAATTTTTTTATAATCAAATATTTTTAAATTTGTACAAGCCATAATGATGTCCTGGCTATCCCTATTCATTATTGTTATTATTTTTTAATAAAGAATCCAGATACATTATTGTACCTAATTAGTTGTTTTATTGATAAGCTCTCCAATTGCACAGGTTTTGTTTATAACATCATAAGGTTATCTTCCTAGTTAAGTCACAATTAACTTGGTGGCGCCCAAAGGTAAGATGTATACAAGGAACCCATAGACCCATGGCCTCCGGACTGATGCTGAATAGCCGTATGCAGTGTAATTAGGCAATTGCAAAAAAAAGTACGTTATACTTTTTGGCAAATAATACGCCGAAGCTCATCTTTCAACGCTTGAATTGTCGAGATGTAATTCGGTGCATTATTCGTGAGATACCACCGGAAATGTGCATAGATGTGATCGAAAATTTTGGCAAAAGAGTTGTGTGCTGTGAGAGAAGTCGCGATGGCTATTTGTTGGAAATTGTGTTTCACGTATACCTAATTGTTAACGATCATGATACTTATTGCTATAAGGTATTAAATGTTTCCTAGTTAACTTTTCGTTTGAATTGAGAAAAACATCCGGAAACTCTTATAAGAACACCCTATATATTTTTGTAGGACCCTGTATAATATGTTCTAAGTAGCTTTTCACGTGCGCCATTCTTGTAGCGTTTGTTTCGAAAAGAAATAATGACGTCAATAGCTATATTTTACATAAAATCGTATAAATCATGATAAAATCTTAGTCGGCTGCGATATTCAAAAAATCTCAAAAACGTCCCGAGGTACTAAGGTACTCTTCTAAACTGCATACCAAACATCTACTTAACCCTCCCTCCAGCAGAATGAGGTGAACCTAAACTTTCGCACAAAAATCGCCAACTTATGTTTCACCCTGTATCTTTTAGCAGGTGGCCGGAAATCTGTTGCCGAACTGGAAATTGAAGAGTAATTAGAGCATCCTTTCACTCCTGAAAATTTGAACAAAATCGGCCTGCTAGATTTTGAGTTATAGCTTTTCCAAAAGTGACCAAAAATTCGGGTGTTCGAGTTCGATTGACGCATAGTTTAATCTGATCTCAAAACTCCTAGCGTATCGCAGTAATAAAGGTTTGTGAACTGTGTGTGAAAACCTTTCACCATTTTTGTTTTGCAATAACTTGCTAGTTTAGGTAAGATTTTTAATTTTAATAATTTACTGGAAGCTTGAAATGGAAATTTATTATTACGAAAACCGAATTGCCTAATGTTACAATTAAATATTCATTTGGATATGTATTAATATATAACTAAAACTATTATAACTATATTAACTATCATTTGAACATTATTTCTATTATTCATATTTAGAAAAATTAAAACTAAACTAAATTAACAAATGAATACTACAAATAACTTTAATTCTAGTAGTTATTTCTTCTTCAGTTCTTCATCGATGTGATCAACAGAAGCCCTGAGTCTCTGCCATTGCTCAGGGGTGAGCGCAATGCCTTTCTTTCCAGGCTTCAAGGTTCCATTCGCATCATAAAATTCTCTTATGTTGATGTAGGTTTGCCCCTTGAAGTCTGACAACTTCACAAAGCGGTTTTTGCCCAGGTCCCATGTTGGTTCACTGTCTTGAGTACGGTAAGTTAAATCGGATTTGACCTTCTTCTTCATTGGTTGTTTCTGAAAAACAATAAGAACGTGAGTTTCACTGACTATTTCACTAGAGTGTTGAGCTCGCATTACATCTGTGTATTTTTTCTTGTATCTCTTCACGCAATACATACAGAAATACATGAATGTAACGCGGAAGCATTAGCGTAGTTGACGTTGAATCTGAGCATGTATAAATACACGCGATAGAACCGGTTCTGTTTACCGTGTATTTCACTGTTACCAGCCAACGACTTTTAAGAGGGGCGTCAGAGCCAGCGCGCCATCTTTTGGGCTTTATGACACATTAAATATTTTTTAATCACAGGTGTGCACAGTCCCTGTAAGTGATTGACTTTTTTACAAGTAGATGGTGACATCTCCAATATCCATTCATTTACGCAGTAATCTCGGCAGTAATAGACAGTGGACTAAATAATTTTATTCAGATGCAGATGAAATGATAGTATTTCACATTATTACCTAGATGAAACAATTTTTACTGGCGTTTGAAAGAAGTTAATAGTGTTACAAAAACGTCCGCCAGGCTGTCAAGAATCGATGGCGTAAATACTAGAATCTAGCGAATTATTCTACTTTAATCTGGAAAATAAGATTATCGTGTGTATTCTAGATTTTACAGGAATAGATTTAGGAATATATAAGAAGGCCGGCATTGATTTGTAAGTTAGTTTCAGTTCGAGTGTGATACGATTTAAATAGTGATTGTAAAGAGTTTAATTGTTGTTTGTTAATAAAGTAATTAGTGTCAGAGTGTTTTGTTAAGTGGAATAAATTATTGCTGTGTTAATTGGACTTTGATTTTTAGAATAAACGAAACGAACAACGAACCCAAGATTTCTGTCCGGCGATCCAAAGCCGCGACATTGGTGTCAGAAGTGGGATATAAAGGACTGCAGAGTGAAATCCAATTACGGAAGTGCGGGGACACTAGTGTACTATAAAAACTGAACACCAAGTGAACACTGGGACAGTTAGTGCAGTGCAAACAGTGACAATCACAAAAAGAGACTCAACCGATCGTGTGAATTACCCCGGCAGTGACTCTATACCCGATTTAGACTGTGATAGTGAATCTTCGAGTGAGTTCTAGAAAATTCTTTTTGGAAACTAAGGGAGATATCGAATTTGTGACTTCGCCGACGTATTCGGAACACCAATCGTCATTCAGAAGAGGTTTTTCGAGGAGTTTCGGGAAACTTCTAGAACATTCTATTTGGAAACCAAGGGAGATATCGAAATTGTGACTTCACCGACGTGTTTGCTGTATCAATCGACATCTAGAAAATAAATTTCAAGGAAATTCCAGAACATTCTATTCGCGAATAAAGCAAGTTATCCAATTTGTGACTTCACCGGCGTGTTGGAACTTCGAGCACAGACCAGAAAAGATATTTGAAGACAGTTCGAGGGAAATTCTAGAACATTCTGTATATGCCTATCACAAGACAACAAGCCAAAATGGAAGAACAAAAAGTTGAAGAACTCCTGCGCAAAATGTTGGAACTTCAAGAGACCAAACGACAACAAGAAAAACAAGACGAAGAAGCTAGACGACAACAAGAAGAAGCTAGAAGACAACAAGAAAAACAGGACGAAGAAGCCAGACGACTACAAGAAAAACAAGACGAAGAAGCCAGACGACAACAAGAAAAACAAGACGAAGAACTCAGGCGACAAAAAGAAAAACAAGAAGAAGAAGCCAGACGACAACAAGAAAAACAAGACGAAGAAGCTAGACGACAACAAGAAGAGGCCAGACGACAAAAAGAAAAACAAGAAGAAGAAGCTAGGCGACAACAAGAACGGCAAGAAGACCTTGGAAAACTACAGAAGATATTCCAAACAATACAAGGAACTGTCGCTAACTTAGACCAGAAGATTGAAAAAGTTAAAGACGATGTGCAAGAAGTTAAACACGACGTCCAGGAAGTAAAAACTGAAGTCAAAATCGATGTTCAAGAAGTTAAAGACGATGTAAGAGAAGTTAAAGACGACGTTCAGGGAGTAAAAGCTGAGGTCAAAGCCAATGTTCAAGAAGTTAAAGACGATGTTCAGCAATTAAGACAAGAAGTTGAGGACCAAGTTCAAGCACTCGAGGATAAGATGCGTAGATTAGAAATACAGTCCATAAATCCAGCTAGTGTTGGAGCATTCTCCAGTATGAAGATAAAACCACCAACTTTCGACGGATCTACGTCCTGGACCATGTATATTCGACAATTTGAAGCTGCTGCAAATACCAACGGATGGAACGACCAAGAGAAAGCTACAGCACTAATAGTGGCGCTACGAGGACCTGCCTTAGACCTTCTTCAGTCCATTCCTTCAGTCTACCAACAGAATTACCAGCATCTTAGTCAAACTTTAGAACTGGGCTTCGGAGACCATTACAGACAAGAAGTATTCAGAACTCAAGTTAAATCAAGAGTTCAAAAACCCGGCGAGAGTCTACAAGAATTCGAATCGGAAGTTAAAAGGCTAGTGAGTTTGGCGTTTCCTGCAGCTGGGGAAGACATGCAGGAATGGATGGCAGTATCTGCGTTTATTGATGGTCTCAGAGATTCGAAGATCCAGGAAAACCTAAGAATGTCCAAGTTCAGGCAAAGTAGCGAAGCCCTTGTCCGAGCATTAGAACTGGAAGCAATCTTTGGTGCCTCACGACCCAGAATACGAGCAGTGTCCATTGAGGACCCAAAGGAAAAGCAATCATCAAAAGAGGATGGCAGTTTCGAGAACCTTATGAGTAATTTCATGGAGGAAATAAAGAAAATATTACGAGAAGACAGAAAAACAGGAAACGACTCCAGGCAAACACCAACACAAAGAAACCGATTAGAATGTTATCGCTGCCATAAGATTGGACACATTCAACGAGATTGTAGAGTAAGAATGCCCTCTCCATCAAGGGATCGTTTCCAACGCTTTTCGAGATCAAGAGACGCCAGCCCTAATAACAGACAGGGAAACGAGAACTAACCAGTATGGAGGGCCGAATGCTGGTTAGTAATGGCGAAGCCCCCAGGGTTGTTTACATAAAATCATTGGGCAGGCATTATAGAGGATTAAAATTCGAAGGACAAATTAATGGAGAATTGAAAACCATTACTTTTGATACGGGTGCTGAAGTTTCCATAATTAGAAGAACACTAGTCAAGTCTCGAGCAATCCAACCGCTCACTAGAAACCTGTCACTACGAACAGTCACCGGCGAATCTGCACCAATTCAAGGAGAAGCTATGATTGAGCTTACTTTTGGATCTACCACCTTCAGGCACAAAACATTAGTCGCTGACATAGAAGATGATTTTATTTTGGGAATGGATTTGATCGCCCAACATGGTTTCTCTTTTGATCCTTCCATGAACATCCTTAAATTTGGTAATGAAGAAATTGTCCTAACAACACAAGAAGAATCCGATGCTATTAAGATCTTGGCCACAGCCCCAGTGAGGATTCCTGGAAGTACTGAAAAGATCATTTGCGGAAGATTAGAAACAAACCCTGGGTGCTGCGTTGGACTAACACGTAATTTCATTGGAGATAAACCAGAAAGATTTTTTGTTGGAAAGACTCTAGTAAGAACAAATGGAGACATTATGATAAGAATTACCAATGTTTCTTCCGAAACAGTAAGAATAAATGAAGGAGACATTATTGGAGCTCTCGAACCAGTGAAGCAAATATCGAACTGTGACCTACCAGATAAGCGACATTTTGTGAAATCCAAATTGGATACAGACACCTTGATGCAGACTTTGGCGAAATCATGGAATCATCTTGATCCAGATAGACTTCAAGAAGCCACAGATTTCATCTTGAAAGAAGCAGACGTATTTGTGATGGACAATCGAACCGGACGAACCAGCTTAATTCAACACAAAATTGATACTGGATTGGCACACCCAATTAGACAACCACCACGACGTATGCCAGTAGCTAAGCAACAGGAAGTGGAAAACCAAATTGATAAAATGCTTCAAGAGGGAGTCATTGAAGAGTCAAATAGTCCATGGTCCGCGCCAGTAGTACTGGTTACGAAGAAAGATGGGAGTCTTAGATTTTGTGTGGACTACCGAAAGCTTAATGACGTCACCAAGAAGGACAGCTTCCCTCTCCCAAGAACAGACTATACACTAACAACTCTATCGGGCTCCAAATGGTTTTCCACCTTGGATCTCAAAAGTGGATATTGGTAAGTGGCAATACATGACGATGACAAAGAGAAAACTGCCTTCAGTACCGGAAGCGGGCTATACCAGTTTAATGTAATGCCTTTCGGATTGTGTAATGCTCCAGCTACGTTTGAGCGACTGATGCATCTTGTTTTGCGAGGCCTTACATGGAGAACTTGCCTGGTATATTTGGATGATGTCATGATTATGGGAAATTCGTTCCAAGAACATCTCAATAACCTGAAAGAAGTTTTTGACCGCTTCCGGAATGCCAACTTGAAACTCAATCCAAATAAGTGTTTCCTATTTCAAAAGAAAGTGGAATTTTTAGGTCACGTGGTATCTGAAGAGGGCATACAAGTTATGGAAGGAAAAATAGATGCTGTCAGGGACTGGCCAAAACCACGCGACAAACATGAACTAAGGAGTTTTCTAGGATTATGTTCTTATTATCGAAGATTTGTGGAAGGATTCGCCAATATAGCTGCTCCACTTCATCGATTAACAGAAGAAAAATCAACATTCAATTGGACCCAAGAATGCGATTCCGCATTTAGAAAATTGAAAGGAGCATTATGTACGAGCCCAGTGTTGTCCTATCCTGATCACAAAGGCATGTTGATTTTGGACACAGATGCAAGTAACACCAGTGTTGGAGCTGTCCTTTCACAAATCCAAAATTCACAAGAACATGTCGTGGAGTACTACAGCAGAACATTATCAAAGTTGGAACGAAATTATTGTGTCACCAGAAGAGAGTTGCTTGCCATAGTGAAAGCAGTCGACCATTTTCATAAGTATCTCTATGGACGCATGTTTCTAATTCGAACAGAT